GATTATTAATTTATAATACAAATATAAAACACTTTTTTAACCTTTTATTAGCTAATATTCAAAGATTTGTCATATATTTTAATTCATTTATATTTTTAAATAAAATATAGTATATGGTCTAATTTTTTTTTAAAACCGCACCAAAACGGAAATCGCAGTTTGGTCATTTTCAAAAACCGCACCACAATTTTTAACCACAAACCGCACCAAACCGCAAAATTGCGGTTTGGTTTGCATGGTTTAATGCTGTTTAAACTGCACTCTGAACAACCCTATGAATTATGCTACAAAAGTGAAGTAAAGTGAAGTGATAATTTTATTATGTGAATTAAAATATTATTATGATGTCAAACTTAAGTCAAGCATGTTTATTTTTATTAATCACCTAGAGAGTGATTAAAGTCATGAAAAAAATTATTTAAGTTCTATGTGAATTTAAAATAAGTCAAGATTATTTAATTAATAGGACATGATGCTTGTGGACGAATCCCTAAAAGTATTAAGTACAGGGGAAGTCTAATGTTTTAATGCATAGTTGCCTATTTGTAGTATGAGAAGTTGCTGCACTACTGTTTTTAGTGGAAAATCTGAGCTTTTGGTGTTATGTGGAGGCGGGAGTGCATACAGTGTAATTTAGAAAGTCAATCCCTTTCCTGTTAGAAGTAGTAGGGTTGACGGAGGACAATGCAGTCAATGTATGGTCCCTGCAAACACCTCTACGATGTGCATCGTACATAAGTTTTATTTTAAAAGCGGAAATATCATATTATAGAAATGTAATGAACATATAGCTATAGTGAAAAGAACATACTTTAAAATGTAATGAACATATACCTAGAGTGAAAAGAACATACTGTTAAATAATGTTCTTTATCAGAAAACATGATGTATTTATTATTTGTTTATAATGTACATTTAACTAATAATACTATGTTTTTTTTTCTTTCTTTTTTTTTTGTTTTTTTTTTCATATGTTCATTATTATATCAGATAATGATCTTTATTAATATATTGATAAATTATTGTAAATGTTCATGTTCTTTGATTGTCAGTGCAATGTACTTTTATTTGTGACATATTGTTCATTGCTTATTGTGAAATGTTATTTGAATTTTGCCTTTAAATTCTAGTGGGTATATATAAATAATGTTCATTACATAATATTATCATGTTCTTTGTTAATATTACAGATATTCTTTAGATATACAAATAGAACATAAAGCTGGATCGGATGTTCTTTACAAAACAACTATATATTCTTTACTTTTTTTTTTTTTGAAAGGCAAAGGTAGCACAATATATTATATCACGATAAGTCCATCGAGGCCAAAGAAACAATGCTTTGGGGGAAAGAGTCAAAACGAATAAGTTACGGACTCTCCCCCGTATCACCCCTAGCAACTAGGTGAGCGACCGTATTACAGCTACGCTTTGCATGAGAGAAAACACACATATTAAAAGAAAAACTATCACGTCTAATGTCATCAAAAACATTAAAAATAGGAGCAGCACCAGCATTTCCTTTGTTGATGGCAGATATCACATTGAGAGCATCTGATTCAATCCATACTCTGTCATACCCGAATCTATGGAGTATTGTTAGGGCATACCTCACAGCCATGGCTTCCGCAATTTCCGGGTTCGTTTGAACCATCTTCCTTGTGGCAGTTAACACCACTTTGCCCACGTTATCCCTCAATACAACGCCCATCCCAGCTCTACCATCCTGCCCAATGTGAGCATTAATGTTTGCCTTACATAGCTCCGCCAATGTAGCTTCCTACTGTCAACTGTCGACCCCCACCAAAAACGACATAGCAAACCGTGTATTTCATCAATAAGCCCATCAGGAATCTTGAACAAGCTCATCATGTATGTGGGAATCGCCTGGGCCACTGCTTTGATTAAAACCTCCTCTCCCGGCCTTGATAGGATCTTCTCTTTCCACCCATTCAGTTTCTTCCACACCCTTTCCTTCAACCTTGCAAATATAGCTTTTTTTCATTTGCCAATGACTGTAGGGAGACCAAGGTATTTTTCATGCCTATTCACCTCTCGAACCCCTAAAATCTGAGTAATTTCTGCTCTTCTCCCCATAGTAACGTTCTTGCTAAATACAACATCCGTATCTAGATTGACTTTCTGACCAGATGCTCACTCATAAACACTGATTATATCAGCTACCTTCGAGCATTCCTGAGGACAAGCTTTAGCAAATAGAATACTATCATCAGCAAAGAAGAGATGAGAAATTCGTGGTGCCCCTCTGCAAATTCTAGCACCACACACCTTTTTTTCCCGGGCAGCCTTGTTAAGTAAACCAGAAAAAGCATTAGCACATAGCAGGAATAAGTAAGGGGAAATCGGATCACCTTGTCTTAGCCGTCGGGACGGGACAACTCTCCCACAAATTTCGTTGTTCACCTTGAAAGCAAAGAAACAGTTGACAGGCACCTCATTATACGCTCAACCCAATTCTCCGAAAAACCCAACTTGCACATTACCCTCTCCAGAAAAGGCCACTCCACTCTATCATAGGCCTTACTCATATCTAACTTTAGGGCTATCGATCCCTGCCTCCCCTCACCCCCTCTCTTCATCGCATGAAAGATTTCGAAAGCTACCATGGCATTATCCGTGATCAGTCTCCCCGGCACAAAGGCACTTTGATTTTCAGAAATAATGTCATTAAGGCATGTTTTCAGCTTAGTGGCCAACATCTTAGAAATAATTTTATACAACACATTACAACAGCTAATTGGCCTCAAATCTCTCATATATTTAGGCTCATTTCATTTCGGGATCAAAACAATACAAGTTTTATTTATTTTCGAAATATCAATAAGCCCATCCCACCAATTTTTCACCAGGTTGATAATATCAGGGCCAACAATATGTCAGAATTTCTGAAAAAATAAAGCATGCATTCCATCCGAACCTGGGGCCTTAGTCGGACGCATTTGAAAAAGAGCAGTAGTTATTTCATCTGATGTAGGGGCAGTATTAAGAGCTATGTTCATCTCTGGGGTAACCTTCCTTTCCAGCCCTTCAACAGCCTCGTCGAACCCTGTAGGATTATCAGAAGAAAATAAGTTCTGAAAATATTCGACAACCACCCTTTGCTTATGCTCTTCACTCTGCTTCCATTCGCCATTCTCATCATATAACCCATCCACCGATTTTTCTTTCTCCGTTGGCTAGCTTTCCTGTGAAAATAGGTTGTGTTTTTATCCCCATCCTTCATTTCATTCCCTCTAGCCCGAAGGTACCAATAAGACTCCTCTTGTCTACGAAGATTATGTATTTCTGAAGCAAGCTTTTCACATTTCGATATCATAGCAGCATCAACCGGATTATTTTGGGCTATTTGTAGATCACTTTCAAGCTCACTGATTTTTTTCTTCACCCCCGAAACTCTTTTGCTGCCCATTTCTTCAAATTATGAGCACACACTGCCACACGTTCATGAGCATGAAGGCCCTCACTGCTCTTCCACGCCTTTTCAATCACACCAGTGCACTCTTCTTTGGACAGCCATAGTGACTCGAATCTGAATAATTTCCCACCCTTCCCAGACTTCTCCTCACGAGTTGTGTTTAGGGTAATTGGGGAATGGTCAGACGCGATCCGAAGAAGATGTCTCACAGCATAATTCGGAAATAATTGGCATCAGCCATCCGTTCCCATAAACCTATCAAGCCTTTCCCTAATAAAAGTCTCAGTTTGGTTCCCTCTCTGCCAAGTGAATTTGCCCCCTTTGAAACCAAGATCAAGCAGGGCACAACTGTCAATAGCCCCCCGAAAAGCATCCATGACCACTTCTCTCCTCGTAACACCACCCTCCTTCTCCCTCAAGCAGACCTATATTCTTTACTAAACAACTATGTATTCTTTTAGCTTTTTTTTTTTTTTCAATTATTTTTTAAAAAAATAAAAATTAAAAGGCTGGGTGTACCAAGCTTGGAACATATGCCTGTACCATAAAAAAATTTCACAATGCAATAAGTATTGTCATGGCTTCTCATGATTCTCGTTTATGAACCTAACTAAGTAAATTAAAGAGTAAAGTAAAGTTTAAAGTCAGGAATTAGAGTAAGTCAAAGTCAAGTCAAGTAAATAAAAGTGTTGATTATATGATTTATTGTTGATTTATGTACTACCATGTCTAAATTATTTTTAATTAATGAGTTTTACTTATTATAAGTTTTTTGTTTAAAATGAATTAGACTAGTGATGTTTTATTTTATGACTTTTAATGGAGATTCTATGTTTAAAGGGTTTAATTAATGAAGTTTAATCAAAAAAGCCTAACTTGGAATTATTTATGTTTTTTAATTGATTAGATTAAGTTCTTTTGATTAGTGTACATATTCAGCATTTGTTGACTCATTGTGTTGTTTGTTTTGCCATGATTTTTTCTTCGATGACACAGTGATGATTATATAGAAGCATGCAAAAGAGAAAAAGCAGTATTGAAGACACTCAAAGAAAGCTTAGCTTGGCTTGAGCTCAACGTGGAATGAAAGATCAGAGGTCTGAAGAGTTTGCTGTCAATGATTGGGTCTGGTTGAAATTATAGAATTACAGGCAGCAATCAATCCAGTACAGAGGTAATAACAAGCTTGCTGCTAAATACTTTGGGCCTTTTAAGGTGCTTGCTGTAATTGGGAAGGTGGCTTACAAGCTCCATCTCCCTAGATCAGCTAGGATTAATGATGTATTTCATGTCTCAAAATTGAAGCCTTTTAGGGGTGAACTCCCTGCGGTAGCTGTTACCCCATCAGATTAAGGTGAGGTTGCACTTAGACAGCTGATGCCTGATGCAATTTTGGCTCGCAGAACTATAAAATTAGCAGGGTCAGTTCAGGACCAGCTACTGGTTCAATGCCAGAATAAGCCTAGGCATGAAGCTACTTGGCTTGACAAGCTTGATTTTGAAGCTCCGTTTCCATGTTTCTGTATCCCTGCGACTTGAGGGCAAGTCTTTTTAAAGGGGAAGGGTGTGATACAGTATGATAGAGTATCATATAATTTCAGAATTTCTATTTGAAGTTTTGGCGGGAAAAGTTGTTAAGGGTATGTTTGGCCAAGCTTTTGGAAAACAATCTCTGTTTCCTAGAAGTAGTGTTGTTTTTCATAAACTATTTCTAGAGAAACACTTGCAAGAAACAGAATTGTTTGGCCCATCAAAAATTAGAAGTGATTCTTAGATTGAGAAACTATTTTACTCTATTTGGCCTATATTAGTTTTTTTTTTTTTTTTTTTTTTTTTTTTTTTTTTTTTTTTTTTTTTTGAGCAAATTGTTCATAAATTTTCCCTTGTTTGGCCGAGTTTCTATTTCTTGGATTGAGAAACACTTTCAGAAACTAGGCCAAACAGCTCCCAAGTATTTTTCTGTTTTTGTTTGTCGTCTTTTGAATTTGTTAAGTTGTTATTTTTGTGTGGCGGTAAAAAGTGCTAAGAGAGTATAATTAAAGCACAAATCAGTTGTATTAATTTCTATTATGGAATATTAATTGCACAAAACTTCTCTCTATTCTCTCTCTAATTCTTCTTACCTTCATCCTCTTACTTCTTCTCTATTCTGATTCTGCTGCAAGTTACCGTATAAGGATTTAACCTTATCATTCTTCAAGGACTGTTTTATGTTATGAGAATTGAGAATTTAGAATTGGTGGGTTTATACCCTCTTGTGCAATTTAATTCTTTAGATATATTTTTATTACTGCCATTCATAAAAAAATCTTGAACCATTCCTCATTATGCTCCACATCCTGTCATTCAAGCATGTACTGAAAGGCATAATCTATTTCCACAGTTTACCTTGGTGTTTTAATGTATCTGCACAAGGTGATCGAGTTCAAGTGAATGAAATCCAAGAAACTAAGGACGACGAGGTAATTCAAGAACAAAATCCCTCATCTTTTGTTGCAATGGAAGTTATAAGAGGCAAGTAGGCAACAATAAAACGAAGTCCTATACATGTATTCTTATGAGCTCGTCGTCTCTGCATTCCCTAATGGAAAGCTCCAATCTCGAAACAGTTGTGGGAGGTAATACTTCACAGCACTGCCTTCTTGGTGCCCGCAACTGATTAAAAATAGGAAGAAAAATAAAATTCATCAGTTTGGTATAAACTACTGAGTTTTGTTCACCATTTTGATATAAACTTACTTTTAGCTAAATTTGAGGTCTACTTTACCTGGTTGATGCTAAGGTTTGACTTCCGTGAAAGTACCACAATCTCCTGCAGTTTTTTTGGTGACTTCATTGGATCAAAAGTGCAATTCTCAGGTAATATTCTTCTGTATTTTGTCATGGATTTTGTTCTTTCCGAATGTACTTCATTAAGGAAGAAAATTGTAGATCTTCGACATGGGTCAGGATGAAGAGGCCTTGTGCTATATAGATAGTTTGCTGCTGCTCCTTTTTTCCATGGAGTGAATGTATCTTGTATACGAATAGCATCAGACAAGTGGATATGCTGGTTGAAAACTTCTACTGCATAACCCCAAGATACTGAAATCGTCCAAGAAAACCAGCGATCATAGCATACAGTCTGCTGCAGAATCCTCTCAGGATCAGCAGTTACGGATTTGAAGAGGTGATGCAGAGCATTAGTTGCTGACATGTTTGGGAATATCGGATCAACTTCATTCAAATGTGAAAGTGAAACCAGTGGTGTTATAGGATGAGCAGCTAATAAACCAAAGATGTTGCCGCGAACATCAACCTAGCACAGAGCCACATGTTAAGATCTGCAAGTGCAAATTGATATTTCTGAGCGTATAAAGTTACATTGAAACAAGTGGCTTTAACCTAAATAATCTGCTATGGAAGCTCTTTTTAGCTCAGATGCTCAATGTCATTTAAACTAATGAACTAGTTATTAGCCCGGGCGATGCCTCGGATCACTATGATTTTTATAAATTTGTGATATAATTAAAAAAATTCTATAAGGTTGTGTTAAACAATATTTATAAGTGAATAAAAATATAATAATAAACTTAAGATTACTTGGTGTTAGTTTTTTATTCATTTTACTTTACATAAAAAAAAATAATAACTTATATAAATTACTTTGTATAATTGCTTGACTGATATAAATCTAGAAAATTAGCATCTAAGGAATCAACAACCATTAGTGTATGATTTATGTCTTACAAATTAAATAAATCTAGAAAATTAGTATCCAAGGAATCAACAACCATTAGTGTATGATTAATGTCTTACAAATTAAATAGTTGATTATTGTGCAATTACTTAGGAGTATAATTATATGGGAAAATTAAATACGAAGGTTACACATATAAAGAGTTTTAGGTGATAAGCGATGACACATAAAGTGACACAACGCTCACGCGGCGCCAAATCATATTGAAGAAAAGGTGACACATGGCGATAGCATGTTGTCCCATTGAGTTTTAATAATATTTTAAACGAGTAGAATTAAAGGTCTCCTGTAAATCTGTAATTCACATTCTCACTTCCGATATTAGCAAAATTAGCAGCAGAGGCTCTGGAGGGCCAATACAAGTGTAAGAGGTTACAAAGTAGATGTCTGATTCACACTGAGGGTAAGAAGAGGCACATTTAGGACACCTTAAAATGTAATAGGGATTATTTTTGGGATAAAAAATACGGAGGAAAATAATTAAAATGGCAGTAAATTTTGTTGAAGGATCACTCCATAAACATAACTGAACAAAGTTAATGAGTAAAAAACAGATCAAAACAAAACAAAAAGAACAGAATAGCAGAATATCTTAACATCACTTGATTCATACATTCTAAAACAGTTAGCCTTTGGGTGAGGTAGTTTATGATATTCATATTAAGCAACGATATTAGTGGAATTGCAAGGCGCCTTTCTATATAGTAGCTATTTTTGGTAAATCAATTATCACTATGTATGTGAAGGATGTTTTATAAAGTGTGTATAATGGTAAATGGTTATGACTCTTGTGAGTTGAGCTAAATGCATGTAATATTTCTCCAAAATTGGCACTATAAGAAACTGTACAATGAGCAGGACTATGTGGCTTTGGGCAATGTTAGAATTAGAATGGCAATCCGAAGCATTGTATCTTCTGTTGGTTGGCTGTAAAGCAAAGGTGATATCAGAGACGCTATAACAAATGAAGCTAGATAGGCTCTGACGATCATAATTGTTTAGCTTGTGCTGATGCAAATGAGAATCGATCTTAGGCAGTTGAGCGAATGTTATTTGCTTGTGACTTTGTGAGTAGTATATGATATGTTGTGATACAGTAGTATGTTGTGCTTGCTCTTACTATTATACCAGCTAAGGAGTGCAGGAAATGATGCAGCCTGGCTGCAGAAAGTTTTTTTTCCTCGAAGATTGTACAGCTCAATTATGGTAATGATAAGTACAGAGTTGGTGATATTTTGGCAAAGAAAAAACAGGGGAATTCTCTCCAATTTGTTTTTGTGCATCATTTTGACCGGCAAGTATACTTCATAGGAAAGTTAAACATAGTAACTCAATTTTATATCTACTAAAGGTCATATTCAGAGTTACCTTAGAGAACTCCAATGGTTGTAGTTAGGGACTTGCTTGCAGTTTAGAAAATATCCTAGCTATTAACTTGACCATTGGATCTAAAAAAAAATTAAATTAGTTTGGTCAAGCAAATTAGCTTGGCCAAGCTTATTTGCTTGACAAAAAACTTGCCAAAAAGATAAGTTAATACATTTATAAATTAAATGTAAAAAGCTAATTAACAAATTAAGGCTCAATTAAATCACAAGCTAGTGGCTAACCATTGGAGCACAAATTAGCTGCAAAAGAGATTAGCTTAAAATCTTATGTGGCATAACAAGCTAATCTTATGTGGCATAACAAGCTAATTTGCTAATTAGCTTACCATTGGGATTGCTCTTATTAGCCACCTTTAAATTTTTTGGTTCTATAGAAACATTACATATAATGAAGCTATTAAAAAAGTAGATTTAGAGTTCAAATAATCCATCACATGCTAAAACACCAAACTAGTCTGCTAACTCTATCAAATCCGTAAAATATTCGACACTTAGAACTTTAATCCTACAATAATTTTGCATCCTTGTTAAACAATCCAAATTTGGCTCACCTCATCATATTTGATTTTAACATAATTGGTATAACAAATGAAAAAAATTTAGACTGGAATTCCATGAAAATTGAGTTAGCAACTTAAATTCTTAACCTGATTTGGAAATGAAAACGTAATAAGAGGATCAATGTCAGATAAGAATTTAGATCAGTACCGGATGAAAGCCACGTTCACGTGTTAATCCAACTCCCAGCTCAGCTAAGCAAGCATAAATCCTTCCATCACTGCCATAAAGATGAGGATACCGCTCCAAGCACGAATCGAAAACTTTTGCCAAGGCCTTTGCAAGAGGAGCGCTTACAGCAAATCCACCTCCCCAAAAAGCCATTTCAAACGAGTTGCCCGTGTTCTGTTCATAAATCTCTGAATTTGATCCAATGTAGTACCAAAGCTCGTGATCATACTTGGAAAGAGTCTTCACCAAGTTCTCGGGGATGAATACTGTGTGACCATCTCCGAAGACATACCATCGTACATCCGACTGGTTTAAACTAACAGTTTCGGACACAATACGTGCCACACGAATAAAAGACCGGTAACCATGTTTGTAGGTGTAACGGAAACGTGAAGTGTCTTGAGATACACAAATTGGTGGAAGAGCTAAAATGTCACGAGTATTATTCATTTCGGGTGGTATGTTGTCGAGAAATATGCATCCTCGCATTGATTCGGGTTTCCACCATATCTTTACGAACTCCTTTTGCTTCATCCATGATGTTTTCGAGGAAGCTAGACCGAACACTATGTGATCAAGAGACAAGGGTTGTGAGAAATGTGATGATGACACTAAAAAGTTTCGAAAATTCGAGTTGGTCCATAACAAGCTAAGTGATGTGATGAAATATAGAAGTATACATATAGTAAAAGAGATGGCTAAAATGCGTAAAAATCTGTTTGAAGTTAAATTCATTTGTGGCCTAATAAGAGATTTCATCTCCATTTTGAGAGAATTCAAGGGAGATAGACTACAGAAAACTTTGTTAATTTGGTTTAAGTGTAAAAGTTCCTAACTTTTGTAATCTCCCCTAATTGACGGCGAAAGCAACTAACACATGATATTTCCTCATTGTTAGTTACTTCTACAATTGTTAAAGGACAAATATTCATTTTTTAAGGGAAGAAATTCATTGCATTTCCGGAAGTTGCAATGAAAGTATAGGCTCCATAGTCTTGAGTAACAACTAAATTATACTCCATCCGTTCCAAATTAGATGACATACTTTAATTTTTTGCACTATTTACAAGGCTTGCTTTGACTTCGTTTTGTAATTTTGTGTTGAAAAAAAGATATAGTCATGTACGGTTTTGCAAGATTCATCTCAACATCAAATTATTTAAATATCAATTTTTTTAATTTTTGGTAATATGTAATAAAAGATATTTACATTAGAAAGTAAGCATTGAAAAATATGTCTAAATAAAAAGTGTCATCTAATATGAAACAGAGGAAATACTTGTATTTGAATTTAAAGAGATTCAAATGTCAGGAGTTGGAATAACTATATTCCTCATCCAAAATTGAACTACACCCACAAGGCGACAAGCCAGGCCACAACTCGAAACAACCGCATCTTATAATTTTAAATCTAAAACACCAATAATGTACAAAGGTTGACTCGACCTAAAAAAAATCTGATTTGAACTTGACTTAAAGTTGCAACCAAAAATTCAACCTAATCCAAAATGACCAAATTCGAATTTGACCTATATTCATTCTCAAGCCGAAACTCAACCCAATCCAAAGTGATTCAACTTAACCCAGAGTCTCAACCAAAAACCCGATAACCCAATTACCAAGTCTACCTAGGTTTGCTAAATAAATTATATTACGTATTGTTACCTGCCAAGTTTTCTCCCAACCAGCTAGAGTTGGCTGGTCCTTCGTTTTGAAAAATGAGTATTTAATACAAGGGTAAAATGAAAAAAAAAAAAATTAAAACTCAAAAATTATTATACATCAAATATTATATAATTGAACATTAAGGAAGTAAGTGGTTAGAAAGAGAATATGTTTAGTAATTATTGAAAATTGAGAATTGACGTTTTTCAATTAAATTAATATAACATTTAAATTTGATTTGATAATAGTAAAAGCTAACGATCGTTAAATAAGAAAAAACCAAAGGAGGAAATATTAAACCAAAATTAACATTAATTATATCCATAGACGCGTGATTTTGTCATTCATTCTCAACTTATACTATTTTAAGTAATATATTAATTAATTATTAAACACTCTGGGACGTTCGTTAACAAGATCCTTGATAATATATGAACCATAAATACATAGTTGGCCACAAGACAAGCTAGTACTCCCTCCGCTCCCAAATATAGTTCCCATTTTTCCTTTTGAGTGCCCCAAAATGATATTCTCATTTCATTTTTTTTTTAAATTTTTAAACACTATGAAAATACTTAATTACCCTCACTTTTTCTTTGTTTTTATTTACTAAACTATCTACAATACCCCCATTTTTTTTTGTTTTTATTCACTAAACTATCTACAATACCCTCATTTTTTTCTAAGTATTTGTGCCCCCACCTATCTCCATGAACTTTATTCCATTTCATGTATTTATTACTTCCCCCGTTCCAAATTAGATGAGACAGTTTGACTTTGTGCACTATCTACATAACTTGATTTGACTTCGTTTTGTGACTTCGCGATTAGAAAAAAAAAACACAGTCATGTGAGATATTGTTAGATTCGTCTCAACATCTATATTTTAAATATCAAATTTTTATTGTTTTTGCTAAAATGTAATCAAGGATATTTGCATTATAAAATATACACCGGTAAACGTGCCTAAATAAAATGTGTCATCTAATATGAAACGGAGGAAGTATTTATCATCCACTCACTTTTTTTCTTTTTGTTTTTTTGTTTTTTTGTTTTTTTTTTTTTGTATTTTACTCTATTTTTCATGTACTTTATATAATTTTTCCTCTTATTTCTTAATTTCTGTGTTTTTTTACTAAACAGGAACTATTTTTGATGGAGGAGGGAGTACTAATTATTACCAATAGATGGGCCGAGAAATAATCCGGGCGAGAACTAGTGATCAAGCCCAGTAAGTATAGTCATCAATTTAGCATGATCATTCTAACTTGAGAGGCCCAGTAAGTATAGTCAGGAATTTAGCATGATCATTCTTACTTCAGCGAGTACTTACTTGCTTCAAAAGAAATACTGAGCAATTCAGACGTCCTCTCAATCTCTCCTAAAACTCACTCTCTTCCTCTGTACTTCTTCGTTTCCAGAAATTGATCAACGTTGCTAGATATAATCTTCTTCTTCACTTCATCGTAAATGTAGTTCGTTTACATTACATTTTGTTTTTTATTTAGTGTTTTCTATACATAATCTTATTGCTACAATTTTACTGGAAATTTTACTCGTTATGTCTGAATTATTTCGTGTATTTTTGTGTAAATCTTAGCATTCTTATGAAGAAACTTCGAACTGATTATTTTTGGCGTAAATTACTTGATTTTTGTTTAATTTAGTGTAATGTATGTGAATTCAGCTTAATTGTTAAGCTTATTGAGATGATTTTTGACCTTATGTACATCGTAATTGTTTGAAGAAGACGCATATTTAATTTTTTATATTGCGAGATTTTCCTGTAAATTTTTTTAGTGTGATTTCGTATTTTTGATTTTTCAAGTTTGTTGCAAGGTTTTATATGGTGTACTATACAAAACCATACTCATACTCTGCTGATTGATTTATGAGGTTAACTTCTAATTTATGGTGAAAATTTGGTGTAGCTCACTTAATCATATTTGAACTAATTCTGTAATATATTTTGTACACGCTCTGGCTTTTGTGCTAAGATGCTTCGTTCATACACTTGTTTTCGTATTTTAAAGATTGATGTACTTAAAATTGATTATGGTTGAAATGTTCTGATTTATATATTTACTCATAAGATGAATATGGTAATATCGTTTTATCTGATGTTTGAGTTCATTTGCTTAAACTCTCAAATGAAAACCCTCATGATATGTTGCTAGTGTAAGCTATTAAATGATAATGTTAACATATCTTAATACGCAAGATATTGTGAAGCTCAGGATTTAGATGAGTTTATGAAGAGTTTTGTTGTTAGTGGTGGTATTGGGAGGTACTTCAATTTTTGTTTATTTTTGTGATGATCTGGGATTGTAAATTAGTGTTTTGCTAATTGGGTAGTCATTAGCTTCTTGTTGTTCTTAATCTTCATGTAATGTGAAGTTTGTTTGTATGATATACTTTTTATGAATGGTGAATGATGAAGAATGATGTTAAACCAGGGAATTAGCAAGGCCAAGCGAAAGCATATTTACTTGAAAGTTTACTTATGAATTATAATTATCCTACTTAACTAGAAGTAATAGAGAAAAAAGGATCCTTTAATTTAACTAAAGCAAGAGAAGATTATGATATTTCTTAGGTGTTAATGCTTTATCTGGTTGTTGCAATATCTCAGCATGGAAGAATTTGACATTAATTTCATCAAGAAGAAAATTGCTACTCTGCCTGGTGGTGGGGGAGCATTATCTCGGTGGAAAAAGATAGGACTATTTGTCATTGGTGGGCTAGGGGTTCATGCTGCTTTGAGTAGTTATTACAATGTTGAAGGAGGACATCGTGCCATTGTGTTCAACCGCATGACTGGTCTCAAGGACAAGGTTCTTCTATTAAACTCTGATATGTAATGCATACATTGCTTGCAGAAAGTGTGTATCATCTTATATGATATTACAATTGATTCTGACATGTATTCACTAAAACTTATCTGGGAGGGCCTTTGTGAATGTTAGACTAAATATATCTTTGTTATGTATTCGTTTTCTGATTTACTGTTTTTCCTTCATCTTCTGTACTATTTGCCAATGAGTTATCCCTTTATTAATCAAGATAGATAGATGAACTATAGATGCTTCTTGTTATTATAACACACTCTCGCATAACCACATGAAATACTTTTTCTTAGTTGTATTATTGCACATTCTCTACCTGAGCTCTGAGATCAGACAGACCCCTATTTTTATCATGTATGACACTATTTTGGGCACATAATTCCCTCATATTACTTTTTCCTTTCTAAAGTTATTGAGCTGATTATTAAAACTTATTCATTAGAGAATGTGAAAAGATTGGGCCATGGTTATAGCTCCTTATCCCAAAGACCATGCTCTTTACCCCCCACCCCCTCCCTTTTCTCCTAGGCAACAAGGTAATGATGGAAAAATATGCTAGTGTAAGCCACCTAGATGATCCCAAACAGACAAGTTACCAGTCTTGTATGTAACTTTTCGCTTTTGCAAGGTCAAGTTACCAGTCTTGTTTGTTGCTTTTGGCTTTTGCAAGGTCAAGTATATTAAATCGCAGGATTTTTTTTTTTCCTGGAAGATTTTTAGCATGCCTAATTAGAATAAGTTTGGTGAAGCATTGCATCATTAGACATAATATTTAAATTGATGTTCCTAACAGAAAGAGGTAGATCTTTATTCCGTTCGCTTTTACTGATGAAATTTATCTCCATTTTTTTAAGGGTCTTCAGCAAGTGATTGATTTTCACTCAAAATAACCTGAAGATCTCTGTATTTTTGTGGCATATGATGCTATCATATTCTTGTTCATTTCCTAAGATACAAAGAGTTGGTCTACTTCATGGAGCATATTCCCTTGAGGATTTATATAAGCTTTAATGCTGTTCTAGTAATCTAGTTCATGTATACAAGACGTGATTAAATTTCATTTTGACAGGTGTACCCAGAAGGAACACACATGCTAATTCCATGGATTGAGAAGCCATACATCTTTGATGTTCGTGCACAACCACAAGTGGTAGAGAGTACTTCAGGGAGTCGTGATCTTCAAATGGTCAGTCTTTTTCTGTTTCTCAGTTAACAACATTCATCTTGATACTCAGTATATGTAAAGAAACATATAATAATGGCATGCTCAATTGGATAAAATTTTCGTATTTCCTGTTGCATATAGCATAACTTCTTCAACATCTTTATTATCCACCAATTTCTGCTCAATAACTTTTGCTCTGTGCTTGTTAAACTTCTGAGTTTGTACCCTTCTCTAAAATCTTTCTTATATTAGCAGTAAGTAAATATCTTCATCAAGGCAATTGTTTGCACCCTATTGGTTAAATTTATCTATCTTCATATTCCCTCTCTCTATCTGTCTCTCATGCAATTAGCACTGTCTTCTTTATAACTGTTTAATACCTATCAAAGGCATCAATTTTGAGAATCTGAGAACTTTATAATATATAACATGGTAGTGAAAACATTGCCTGGACCATTCTCTCTGACCATTGATTCCGTTTCATGCCTTACTAAAGTAGGTTGTTTAGAGGCTTTAAGTTTGAATCAGTTTGGAATTGAATCATTTTAGCTAACAGATCACTGTATGTAACCTTAATTTTTAGATAGAGAAAACAAAATTCTTCTGCCATAATCTCAACGTTTACCTTTCCTGAGTTAAAGAGAATTTTACTCCTTTAGTGCTGAAGAATTGTGGGAATCTATAGAATACCATCTGCAAAGTGTCCATAGAGGTCCTCCTTAGCTAGGCAGCACGAACCCGGTGAATTTTTTAAATATCATGTGAAAATGTGAAATTACTATCCAAACATGGAGAATAATAAGAACATATAAACGGATAATATAATCTTAGAGGACCAGACAAAATAAATTGAGCCTATCTGTTCTTTTCATATCAGGTATCTCTGCTTCTGCTTCTGATATGCACAAATGTGGCCACCTCGAAAAGCTCTGTAATTACTATTTCCTTGACTCCAACCTTTTACCAGAATATTCTAATTATTCTGCATTATGCCCTCGACTTGCTGACAATGTCAAACCATATAACTGTGAAAACTGAAAAGAAAATGTTATCGACAGCATATATTTCTTCAGAACACAGCTAGTGTTCTTAGGCAATGTGGGCATCAAGTAGATTTTCCTCGTCCATGCAACTATGTTTTATAGCATTCGAGGGGTGTATAGAACCTGCAGTAATGGCTGTGCTTAGTACTTGATAAAATCCATATATTATGATTACTTGATTAGTATTCTTGTAGATTCCAGTTTTGTTCTAATATGTAGCCAGGAAATCTGCAAAGGAGTAACATTCTTTCCAGTCCTATCTTTGTAAAGTTTCATAGCAAACCAAGTACTTTGCTTATTCTTAAACAAAATATTTCCAAATTATTTATTGACATAAGAACAAATAATTCTCCTTGTTGAAGTCAAACTGTTGACTAACTATTATTTGCTGTCCTGCTGCTTAGATAGGTTGGCATTTTTGCACATTCAAACCAAGAACTTGCAACAGCTAAAAATAAGCTTTCTCAATTGAGCTTTATAGAAATTTCTCCTGCGTCACAAAATCTGTAGCATTTTCCCTTGATTCACTTGTTTGAACTATTCTAACATTGGTGCTTGATTCTATCAACAAAAAAAAAGTTATTGGTTCTTGATTGTGGCTTCCAGGTCAGGACTGGTCTGCGAGCGTTAACCCGTCCCGAGCCTGACATGCTACCAACAATTTATCGGACACTTGGTAAGGGCTTTAATGAGGTGGTCTTGCCCTCTATAATCCATGAAACTTTGAAAGCTGTGATTGCTCAATACAATGCCAGTCAGCTCCTTACTCAGAGGAAGGTAAGCGAACATCCTTTCAGTTCCTTGATTGTGGAGTGTTTTAGTGCTTCAAATATAATTATGATAATCTTGAAGTCCTGCTACTATAAAGTAACAGTGCTGTTTCTTGTTTTCTTTAATGCATATTAATGTAGTCATTTTGGGACTAAGGCTTTGTCATCGTCGTTGTTGTTGTAATGCATATTAATGTAAGGAGTTTTCATGTTCTTTTATAGGCTGTCAGTAGGGAGATAAGGAAGATAGTGGCAGAGAGGGCTGCTGATTTCAGAATCACATTGGATGATGTTTCTATCACAAGCCTGAAATTCAGCGATGAGTTCACTTCTGCAATTGAGGCTAAACAGGTGGCTGCACAGGATGCTGAACGAGCCAAGTTTGTTGTAGAAAAAGCTGAACAAGACAAGAAAAGTGCTATAATCAAGGCACAGGTAAAGTTACCATTTTAAATTTATGCTAAGTTATAAAATAAATAAAAGTATCTTCTGAACGCAGTTGGTGTGAAATATCACTAATTGTTCAACCTATGTTCTTGATTGTTTGTGCTTCAAGTTTTTCCTCCAAGGGAAATAAATTAAAACATCCAAAGAAAAACAGTTTTATTACGATGATTTTGACTTGGACTGTGTCCCTCTCAAAAGTTATTTAATTTGCTTGCCAGGGAGAAGCCAAGAGTGCTGAACTCATTGGTAAATCTATTGCCCAAAACCCTGCGTTCATTACTCTCAGGAGAATTGAAGCTTCCAGAGATATTGCTCATACTGTGGCAAAGTCGTCTAACAAGGTGCTGCTGAATTCAAGTGACCTGTTGCTGAATATGGGTGATAATTGATTGTCTATATCATTGGACAGAAGTTTTTGATGTCGTTGCTTGCTGTTGAAACACTATGACCACAGAAAAGTTATGAATAACACTGAAACTGTTTGGCGTTTGTGAATGCTTCTTTTTCTGGTGGTTTGAAATAATGTAACCATTCTAAGGGGATAAAGAGATTTTATTGTAGTTCTGAAACAATGAACTTTAAAGTCTTAAAATCTACTAATTTTCTTAAGTGTCAAACTACTGCAGTTAACAGGCCTGTTGCAAATTCGTATATATTCCCATCTTCTATGCTTGATGCATATACCTGTGTGATCTCCTGCATCTAATGGTGGCAAGGTGGGTACCATACACCATTTATGAACAGTTTGAACTGCTCTAAATTTACAGGCCATGTGTGCCAAACATTCTAACCAGCTAATATATATTATACGCATATTTAAACTCTAATTATTAAGATGTGATATTGCCGGTAATTATTAATTCCAGACAAAGGGAGAAGTTTGAACTATTAATATCAAAGATTTTCGGGTAATGGATTAGTAATATCGCTTGTCGAATGTTCTTGTAATATTGCAGAGCCATTCCCTGGTTACATTTGCAGGTCATAAAATTGGCATATCACACTGAAAGGAAAAGGACTAAAGGCCTGGCAAAGTCAAGTTTGCCTTAAAAATAGGATTTAGTAAAATTAACAATAATCAACAAAAATCAATTCTAGTAAGAAAGACTTTTGTTATCAGTAAGAATTAGTTTTAATTTGTAAAAATGATTTCTGTTTATCAAAGATTAAGTGCATTAGACTTTATAAAAGGCATGGAATAATTTATGTTTTATGTATCCAGTTTTTGTTATTAAACCGTGTTTTTAATTCTATGTCAAAGCATGTTAAATTAAAACGATTAAAAGGTCTGGCTTGATAATATTGTTTTACTCCGTATAAGAATAACTAAGTCAATGAATTCTAACATTGTAATTGTTAGTAAATGAGACTTTTAGTGTTCAGCAATTAGTGAAGAAATCAGTGAATAAACTTGAATGTACTAGAGTTATTAGGAGTAGTTGAAATGCCAAATGTTGTGACTATTCATTGCATCACAATAATGTAGAAGGCATCCTTCACCCCTATATAAAGTACTCTTGTACATATCAAAATAATGTAAGAAATCTTCCTACTTTCTTTATACATACATTGTCCAGTTTTGATCTAACAATTGGTATTAGAGCCTTATGATCTTAAGGGCCGGAAAAAAAAAAAAAAAAAAAAAAAAAAAAAAAAAAAAAAAAAAAAAAAACAGAAGATAGGAAGAAGAAGAAACTAAGCAGTTGAAGTTTGGCTTCAACGTCAACCTCTTCCACAACTTCTATGCCATCAACTCCTACTTTCACAGGAGAGAATTATGATTATTGGTGCATAAAAATGAAGCTTTTTCTAATAGCAAGTGCTTTGTGGGAGATAGTAGAAATTGGTTTCGTACGAAAACAAGAAGGAGTGCAGTACACAGAAGCATAATTAAAGAAGATAAGTGATGATGAGATGAAGAATGCTAGAGCCTTATCTCATATCATCAATTGTGTTTCTGACACAATCTTCCCCAAGATCATGAGAGCCTCATCAGCAAAATAAGCTTGGAGTCTTCTTGAGGTGGAGTTTCATGGCGATGAAAAAATCAAAATTATTCAACTCAATACTTTGAGGAGTCAATATGATAATATGAAGATGAAGGAGAATGAGGATATAAAAGGTTACACTTCTAGATTCAAGGAAGTTGTAAACCAAATGAAGATTTATGGAGAAGAGATCTCAGATGCAAAAATAGTGCAAAAGATCTTAGGATCTTTGGACAGAAGGTTCAACACAATGTCCACAATAATTGTTGAATCTAAGGACGTCACAAAACTCAGTGTGACGGAGCTAATGGGTTCGTTGCTTGCCCATGAGCAGAAATTTGCAAAGGATGACCTAGGGAAATCCCCACCCTTGGAGATTGCTTTTTCGTCAAAGTCTCATAAAAAATTTCCATTCAACAAAGGCAATAATCGGAAGAATCAAGGGGCTCCACGATCTGACAGAAAAGACAAGGAGCAGCCACAGTCCAAAGGGAAATTCCCTCCATGTGGTATATGCAATAAGACAAATCATCTTGAAAAAGATTGTTATCATAAGGGGAAACCGAAGTGCAGCCATTGCAAAAAACTAGGCCATTTGGAGAAGGATTGTTGGTACAAACAGAAGCAACAATCGTCAAACACAAATGCTCGTGCTTCCAATGAATCAGAAGACAATTTGTTTTATGAACGTCAAGTGATGAGCTCCTGTACCAGCAAGGAAAGATGGTTGATTGATAGTGGGTGCACATCCCACATGACAAAATTCAAGCTTATTTTGCAAGCTTGACTCTTCCATCAAAGTTCCAGTTCGTATGGGGAATGGTGTTGTTGTACAGTCCACTGGAAAAGGCACAATTGGTGTTCAAACTAAGAAAGGTATGAAGTTCATCAATGATGTCCTCCTTGTTCCAGATTTGAATGATAGTTTGCTTAGTGTTGCTCAGATGGTCAACAATGGTTATTCACTTGTCTTTGAGAATAACCATTGCACCATCATTGACTCGAATAAGAAAGAGATTGTAAAAAACCTGATGGAAAACAACAACTTTCTATTAAAGTGGGATTATCCGGTAAAGAATATGAATGTCGTAAACTCAAGTGACACATGGCTATGGCATAGGAGGTATATACACTTTAATATGCGTGCTCTCAATGAACTTCACAAGAAAAATCTAGTGAGAGATTTTCCTGCAATTTGTGTATCCAATGATCTTTGTGAGTCTTGTCAAATTGGCAAGCAACATAGGCTGCCTTTCCTGAAGGAGAAAGTGTGGAGAGCATGCATCAGAAAAATTGCAGCTTGTTCACACTGATGTTTGTGGACCTCATCGAAATTTATCTCTTGGTGAAAACAAGTATTTCATCCTTTTTATCGATAATTTCACCCGCATGACGTGGGTGTATTTCATGAGAGAAAAATCTGAAGTTTTCAGTGTTTTCAAAAAATTTAAAGCACTGGCAGAAGCTCAAAGTGGCTGTAAACTACAAAAAATCAGATCAGATCGAGGCAAGGAATATACTTCCTCTGAATTTGATATTTTATGTGAAGATGAGGGAATTGAACATTAGCTTACACTGGGTTATACACCTCAGAAAAATGGATTTCCTGAACGAAAGAATAAAATTGTGATGGAGATGGCTCGCTGTATGTTAAGTGTAAAAAATCTGCCAAAATAATTATGGGCAGAAGCAGTTCGCACATCTGTTTATTAGCTGAACAGGCTGCTCACAAAAGCGGTTCAAGGCAAAACTCCAATTGAAGCATGGAGTAGAAGAACGCCAACATCAAAACACTTGAGAGTATTTAGATCAGTTTGCTATGCTCATATTCCATCTCAAAGAGAAGCAAATTAGATGCAAAAGCCGAAAGAGGAATCTCCCTTGGCTATGATTCACAAGCCAAAGAATATCGATTTTTCAATCTTAGCAATAAAAAGATCATGATCAGTCGAGATGTTAAATTCGATGAAGATGCAAGTTGGAATTGGGAAGAAGAGAAGGTTGAGAAGAAATTTTTTCAAGTTGACAGTGAAGTGCATGATGAACCTAGAGATGAGAATATTGAAGAAGCTCCTTCCACTCCTATACAAGCTGGAAATGGCACTGAAGAAACTAGTGATGATGATAATGCTACGGGTCCTAGAGGTAAGAAGTCTCTCTCGGATTTGTACGAGAAATGTCCAGTCTTTCACCTAGACCCGCAGGAATGTGAAAGATGTTACCTTGGTGTTGAAGAGCCCCAACATATGAGAAGGCTTTTGAATACAAAAGGTGGGTCTACAACATATGAGAAGCAAGCAGTGGAAGATGAAATCAATACGATCAAGAAAAATCAGACTTGGGAGTTGGTTGATTGACCAAGTGATCGCAAAGTGATTGGAGTCAAAGTGGGTCTACAAAATCAAATTGAATCCTGATGGGACCATAAGCAAGTTCAAGGCTAGATTGGTCGTCAAAGGATACTCCCAACAAGTAGGAATTGATTATGGAGATACATTTGCTCCGGTGGCTAGGCTTGACACAGTTAAAACTCTGTTGGTTATAGCAGCTCAAGAGACAGGAAGATTTATCAACTTGATGTCAAGTCTGCCTTTCTCAATGGTGAACTCGAGGAGGAAATTTACGTTGAGCAACCTCCCGGATTTGCTATTAAAGGGCAAGATGGAAAAGTGTGCAAGCTGAAAAAGGCTCTTTATGGGCTAAAGCAAGTGCCACGAGCATGGTACAACAAGATTGACTCATATCTACTTGCACAAGGGTTCAACAAAAGTAAAAATTAGCACACTCTCTATGTGAAGAATCAAGGAGAAAATGATTTGCTTATTGTTTCACTCTATGTTAATGATCTTCTTGTCACGGGAAATAATTCAAAGATGATCCTCTCGTTCAAGGAGGAGATGAAAATGAAGTTCGAAATGACAGACTTAGGCTTAATGAATTATTTCCTATTGATGGAAGTTCATCAAGCTGAAGATGGAATCTTCATCTCTCAAAGAAAATATGCAAATGATGTTCTTAAGAAATTCCATATGCAAAACTACAAGCCAATCAGTACACCTCTTGTAGTGAATGAGAAGTTGTTCAGAGATGATGGTCAAAGGAAAGTTGACACTAGCAGTACACGATCTTAGTTGGAAGTCTACTTTACCTAACAGCCACAAGGCCAGATCTGATGTTCGCACCAAGTTTGCTTTCAAGGTTCACGAGTGAACCAAGTGATGTTCATATGGGTGCTGCCAGAAGAGTGCTCAGGTATATATGAGGAACTTTAGATTTTGGTGTTATGTTTAACGCAAGTACAAACTCCTAATTGTTGGCATATTCAGACAGTGACTGGGGTGGTTCAAACGATGACATGAAAAGTACTCCGGGATATGTTTCTTCACTTGGATCTGGAGTGTTTTCATGAATTTCGAAGAAGCAAGAAGTATTAGCTCAATCCATTGCTGAAGCCGAGTACATTGTAGCATCGACAACTATTAATCAAGCTGTGTGGCTCAGGAAAATACTTGCTGACTTTAGACACAAACAGGAAGAAGCTACTGAAGTTCTAGTAGACAACAAATCAGCAATTGCTATTTCAAAAAATCCAGTTTGTTTCAGCAAGACAAAGCACATGAAGATTAAGTATTATGCACTTCGAGAAGCTGAGCAAGAGAAAGAAGTGAAGCTGATTCATTGTCCTACTGAGTTTTAGCTCGCTGACATTTTGACCAAGGCTTTACCAAAAAGCAGATTTGAGTTTCTCAGACTTAAGCTTGGTATGATGGCCAAAAGTCTCAAGGAGGAGTGTTAGTAAATAAGACTTTTAGTGTTCAGAAATTAGTGAAGAAATCAGTGAATAAACTTGATTGTACTAGAGTTATTAGGAGTAGTTGAAATGCCAAAAGCTGTGACTCTTCATTGCATCACAATAATGTAGAAGGCACCCCTCACCCCTATATAAAGTACTCTTGTACATATCAAAATAATATAAGAAACTTCCTACTTTCTTTCTACATACACTATCTAGCTTTGCTCTAACGGTAACATTAATTTATAAAGGAAACTAAGTCTTAAGTAATACTTGGTACATTTTTCATGCTGCAAATAACCTGATCTGATCTAAGTTCAGATGGAAATGGAAGAAGAAAAAAGCACATAATTGCTTGACGAATGCTGAGGGGTGATCTTTAATTGTCTCAATCATGCAAGTGTCTGAGAATCAATCACATTAGTCTGCAAGAAACTCCTGTCAATCACCAATTCCTTACGAGTTAGCATAAAATTTTCAGATAATCCACTAATCACATCCCCTCATTAGGCTGCTACAAAGATTCTCCAAAATTAAGAAGATACAGTTCTGTAACTTTGAAGGAGACTTAAATGAAGCTGTTGCGATTGCACGATCCGGGTTGGACCTGGAAGAGCTGCTGAATATGTCATATAATCGAAATCAACCACCAGTTTGGTTAGAGGAGCTGAGTTCCTAAATGAACAATCTAAAAATACTGAAGTTTTCAGGTGGATAGGAAGATACATGCTGATCTTGTCAGAATAACAGACTCGTTCCTTCAGCTCGAGTAACTACATATCAAGCGCCGTTATGAATTTTATTATGAGGATGATGATAGTGAATACATTGTAATGAGTGATGAAAGGATAGATTATTTGTCATCCAAGCTCAAAAGATTACGCAAGATAGATCTTTCGAGTGAAACAGGTATTTCAAATAAGTCCCTTGTTTCGCTGTTAAAGAATTGTGCATTACTAGAGCATACTAAACTTGGTTCTTTTTATTCTTTAACAGATAAAGGTATTTTATGCCTTATATACAATAGTCATCAATTAAATTCATTAAACCTAAGAGCATATTTTATGATTGGATCATTTGAAGTCAAAGGCACTACTAATTTCCTAGCCAACTTAAAATCTCTGAGGTTCATAATTGTTTACACATCGGATGAGTTTTTAATTTCTATCATAGAAGCAAGAGTTCTTCTTACAGACTTGGTTCTTAGAGATTGCAAAAGCTACACGTTTACTGGGATAGTGGGATCTTAAGGCTCCTTCGACACTCTTCTCAATCTCTGAAATCTTTAGAGTTGGGGAGCATAGAATTCTTCACAAATGAGCATATCGAGTACAATTCCTCTTATCTCCAAAATCTGACATCAATTAAGCTCTATGATTCTTCCAAGCTATCTGATTCAGTTTTTTTTATGATCACACAGAAATGCACTCGTCTAATGTCTACGCCATTTTGGAACGAATGATTCAACTCTCGGAAGAGAAGAATACAATTATGATGGCCTAATAAAGAATTGTGCAATAAAGTACTTGGACCTATCATCACATCATAACTTTAGCCCTACAGTTCTGAAAAGGATTCTTAACATTTGTCCTGAATTGGAGAAGCTCAAGCTGTTTCGGGGTTTTTGGAGTCTCTCGGGAGAGTTACAATTCAAAGAATGGATGCCGACCGTCTGTACCTGCAAAACCGCAGAAACTCCGGTTGGGTGGAATTCCGCCTCCGACGATCAAGTTAGTATGTGTACGGACGGAGTTAAAACTACGGAATGTAAAGAGTTTCTCTCGGATCTCGAGAGAGAGCATCTGCAATTAATATTGCTCTGGTTTGTGAGAATATTTCTGAATGTGCAATAAATGGGGATCCATCCATATTTATAGGGTTTGAGGATCAACTCCCCATTCATGACTTAGATTGCCACGTGTCATCAGAAGATTGGTTCTTTCAGAACCTCTCTGAGGCTGACACGTGTCAGCATGCTATTGGTCCCCCTCACAGGTGTCATAATCTGAGAAGGCGACGATTCGCCTCCTTCTCTCTCTTTTTATTGTTTTTTTCTTGTTTTTATTTTTTGGAGGCGACGGTTCGCCTTCTGGAGGATTTCCTCTATAAGTAGAAGTCTCCCCCCTCATTTTCCTCACTTTGACATTTTGAGAATTTTTATGAGAGAGAGAAAAGAGAGCTCTGAGACCGGCTGCTATTTTTTCCATACCCGCCTGTCTCTTCTTGACCCAAACGGCTATCGCCTGGGTACCCATTACTCAAAACTCATTAGCACCATCTGAGCATACTTTAATTGCTTCGCTCTGCTTTCAATACACCCACATCCGATCAACCGTCTAGCGTATCATCAAGCGAGACTTCAGAGAAACGCCTGGGTTCTTCAATAATTTGTGATTGCTTTCAAAAGGGGTACATCCGGGCAACCTGTTGGGTTTCGTAGAGTCCGACTCTACGCGGAAGAAAAACCCGTCCAAGACCCGCCCACTAATTAAGGCAACTAAGCATGCAATCACAAATTAAACAACAATTAAGAGAAAGAAGGAAAAGACATTCATACCCTTGGCGCGTGCTTCGCTCGATCCCGAGCTCTTACTTCAAAACTTGAACCCCGCAAATGCGAAGGTCTCCAACGGCTCGTACCCACGAACCCGACCTAAACGGTCCTAGTCCCGAAGGTTAGTCGGGACTTGACAAAAAAAAAAACTAGAGTTTTACGAGCTTAAGGTTTTCTCGCGTTTCTAAGGAGATGCTTTTTTAGTTCCACTCAAGTGTTCTTCCCAAATCCAAAACTTAGGTATTTATAGGGAAATGAACCTTGATTTCCGATCCACAATCAATGTGGGAGATTTGCAATTTTCCCCATTTTATTTTAATCAAAACAAAATAACATTGCAATTCAATCACCAAGTTACAAGTGGCAATAGGAGGAGAAGCACCGTCGCCGCTGCCCACCTCCCTTCACTGCATTCGCCGCCCCAGCCCACCTCTTTTCCTCGCATCCCCCGCCCTTGCCTCACCGCTTTCCCCTCATTCCCTATCATTCTCTGTCGAAATATCCAGAAAAAACCCCACCACCTCCCTCGAAAACAACTTATATCTATACCCCTCTCCATTCGAAACGCAATGCAACCTCACCCACACTCAAATTCGAGGGTTTGAAGAAGTTATTCATATCAAATTAACCTCCTCTACCGTCGTCAACGTGTTGTTGATGTTGATTTGGTTTCAGTGGATTCGGTGGTGATGAGAGGAGAGAGAGGGTGGGTCGCCGGGTGGGGTTGATGGGTTGGGTCGGGTTTTGCAGGCAGATTTGGGGGGCAATGTTGTTGAATATTTTAGGGTTCAATCAAATTGAAAATCTTAAAACATGCTTAGTTTTGAGTTTATATGAGATTATGGTATTCAAACAATTATATACATCAATGAATTTCTAGAATTGTATATTGAAACTTGGGAGGATTGGTCATTGGTGCTCTGATTTGCCGTTAGTTGAGTTATTTGATTCTCATTGCATAATACTTGTGTTTTGTTGGTGATGATTGCTAGCTTTCCTGTTTGCATTGGCTTAAGTGGTTTCAGTGCTCGTTTAGGGATTGAGGTGTCGGTGGTGGGGGTCTCCGACGGGGAAGGGGTTTGAGACGCCGTCAGTCTGGCCGAGCTGAGAGCTGGCAAGGGGATGGGGGTTGGCGGTGGGCTGGTGGCTGGGTGGGGAGGGGTTTGGATTTTTTTTTTGTTTTTTTTCTTTAAATAATTTGAAGGGTACTAATGTAAATCCATTGTTATTTAACCTAGATTAACCCTAGTTAATTGTTTAATGATTTTTTTAATTATTAATGTTATCATTGGATTAGTAATATTAATTCACGATTACCAAAAATAATAAAAAGTTTCATACTTTACCACTAAGAAAAAATAAAAGTCTGTGGTTACTTGAGAGAATTTCCATTGTTAATAATAATGGTAGAATTAATGCAGGATGTACAGGTT